CAAAGACAGTTCCTAACAAATATAAGACAACTCCTGACGAATATGCTAAAGAAGTTGAAAATGACGACTAAGCATTCTATACCATGCGTAAACTGTCATGTAAGGTGGCATGTAGTCTTTACCAAGCCTGTTGGATTTGTTGTGAAAGTGTGTGAATGATTTCCTGCGGTTCCACAGAAAATACCCGCGTTTGAATCTACCGGGTCACTTGAAAATATTCATATCATATTCCCTGTCTATCCGAACCTGCTGCAAGATTTCTATAACCTCTTTTTGTTATTGAATGTGAATGACTACCTGTTGTGTTTGTCGTTCCTGTATGAGTGTGCGGTGGAAGGTTTGCTTCTTTAATTTTCTTCGAACCTCCTGCCGTCTTTGAATATCTAGCACAGTATAAGAATTTGTCTACAATCTGCTTCCATTCACCAAAACCAAGTACTGTTTCTGGTCTGGTAGAGTTCATTGACGTATAAATAGAGCCTATAGGATATAATGTTTGAAGTATTTCCGTCTTTAATGTTTGAAGCTCTGTTTTGTCTGCTTTCTTCTCATATAAATCTTGAGCAGTGAATTTAACGTTATTTTCATCCTTCATGACATAAACATCTTTACATCTAATGTTTCTCATCGTCGTTATGTCGTCATCCGATTTTAAACCTTGTGGAAAGTTAGGAGGTTTACAATATAATACATCCCCATCAGGTTCTTCAACCGTTCCTTCAATACTTTCTATAGCAACAGTTGTAAAACTTGTATGTGTATGGTTCTTATCTGCTTTCTTCTCTAACTCATCGTTAACATATGTTTTATCTGCTTTAAGGTCTAAACATCCTGAAACCCATCCTGTATCGGCTTTACTTTTTAAAATCTTCGATGTCCATTCATGGTACCAGTCAACCCTTTCTTTCATTTCGTTATCTTTTTCATCCACATATTCCTTATCTGCTTTCTTCTCTAACTTACTAGCCACCCATTCCTTATCTGCTTTCTTTTCAAGGCTAACGTTTAAGTCTGTTATTTCAGATATAGAATGTGTATGTCCAACGGCACTTTTCCTGTTTAAGGTTTCTTGTAAGTTTGTAATATTTGCAATGGTATGTGTATGAGTCTTTTTAGAATATTCGTTTTCAGCTCTTGTCACTTCACTTGACATTTTATTGTCAACATATGTTTTGTCTGCTAGTTCAGGATGAGTATGTTCTTTTGTTGCATAAGCTTTGTCAGCTCTTTCTTCTTCTTTTGCTATTGCATCGTCTACATATGTTTTGTCTGCTTTGTTGTCAACATCTGCTTTCAAAAGAAGTTCAGATATAGGTTTCTCGTTTAAAGTTCCTTTTGTTGGATTTATACAGACAGTATGGTTCTTATTGTCTTGAAATAGAAACTCATCTGTCATTGGGTTTAATGTCAGTTTTAAGTTTCCTTCTTTCAATGACTCAGATATCTTAGAATAGTTTGAAAAGTTTGTTGTGTTCTTATTTAGAGCTTGTATAATGAGTTGTCGGTTGTGTTGTATTTCTCTCATAGACGCTGTTTCATTTGACATTTTTATTCTAGATAAAATATGCTTTCAATAAAAAAGAAAATTCAAGAGTTGCTACAACTAACCATTAGATGAACTTTTTACGAATGTCGGTCAAAAGTTTGAGACAGAGACCGTAAAGCATGAAAGGCTATCGTTTTGACTACCCGTTAAGATGGTTAAGAGACCCATCTGTCACAAAAGCTATTGGCTTTCGTAGAAATGAAGTTCATTTCAGAAGCCATACATGGTTTCCCATTTCAGTCGGTTTTGAAGTTCGATACTATAACAAAGAAAAACGTATGTATGAGAAATTTGAACAGGGAAAACTTTTACAAGTTTAGTTTGCTTGTAAACTTAGAAACAACTCTTCAAGCTTTTCAAGAAAAAATAAACGACATCTATATCGAATATGCAACCAGTATAACATTGACGAGGGAGAGTACCATCTCGATATTATATATGACAGGAAAAATGCAACTGTTAAAATCAATAGAATAGAAGACCTTGGAGAAAACGTTTATATTTCTACAAAATATAACAACTTTGGCATGGTATAGATTTATGAGATGTTAAATCAGCCTGCAGAATATCCAGTACACCGGACTTTTATGAAGTCGAAAACCCTAATGGAACATATGAAAATGTTTTCGACTCAGATGCTATTATAGTTCATGCTTCATTTTCTGGTGCACAAAACTCTTTTTTATGCTTGGCAAATGACTTTTACGAAAAACCTACAAAGCTATATGAACCACCAGTGGAAGTATTTCAGACTTTCAAGTATGGTTTACAACAGAATGGAAGAAGAGAATAGTTTCCATTATACCATGCGTTTTACTTAGAACTTAGTTTCATATACAACTACTATCGAACGGTAAAAATAATTTTTTAATACGGTTGAGGTGTTGGATTTGGTTGCCAACTAGACTGTGGTGCAGGTTCAGGCTGTTTGTATAAAGGGGCTTGTTCTTCTGGTTCAGGGTCTTTAGGTATAATACCAACAAACTGACCTACTCTTTTACCAATATTTTTGACTCCGTTCCAATTCCTTCCTACGGTTTTTATTCCATTCCATATACCTCTTCCAACTCTTCTGAAGAAGTTTCCAATACTACTGAAGAAACCCATTTTACTATATGTAAAAATCTAATGTCGCCTAGTCTCTTACGTTTCCTGTTGATTCCATAGCATTCTTAACTGGAGCTCATACATTCTGTTTCTCCTCTGGTAGAAAACATATTCTGGGTCAACTCCTGTGTTTGCGTCATCTGCATAAAGTTGTTTTATATCCCACTTCAGGGTTTGTATAAAACTCTTTCCATCTCATATTTGCATACCATGGTGGCAAACCTAACGCAGCGTCATTTGACATGGCAGTTTGCATTTGTACATCTGTTGGCACTTGACCATAGTTTGCCATTGCAGTTTGTATTCTAACTTCATTTGGAATATTCTCTGGGTTTGGTTGTCCAGGTTGCTGTGCATTCGCTAAGTTCTGTGCGTCCATTTAATATTAGATAAAAATATCTCTACGAGTACATATACTGGACATTTGCAGGCATTGGTTCATCTTCATATTCTCTATATCTTTCTGCACGTCAAATAAATAAATGACACAATGGAAAAAACCTAAAACAAGTAGTCCTATTTCAAACCACATTTACTTACTAATAAATTTCTTTGTATGACACTTTCTCCGGTTTATAGGACCTCTCTCATATTCTATCTTGTCATATATAAACTCATAGTCATGTATGTCCTCTAACCATCTCATAAGGTTTCCAAACCACTTTTATCGGATGTAAAGTAAAAGCATGGATGGTATGTAAAACGTCTAAAGTTTCTAAAGAGTCTCTCAAAGTCCAGTCTACTTGGTATTGAAAATCCCATGTGTTATAGAACGGCGGGTCCACTATAAAGAAAATATTTTCCTTGTCTTTATATTTTTCATACAACTCTGTCCAATGACATCTCACAAACTCTATACCCTCAATATATTTTTCTATGTCCTCTTTGAAAACATTTGTATAGTTAGATATAAAACTTTTGACATAAGTGTTTCAATGTCATGAACTCTTATAGCACCACTATATAATAGTCTAGCAGATATACTATCCCAGTCTATATATTCTGCTTTTTTCAAAACCTCTCTCACAATATTTTTCTTATCTAATGGTATACGTTCCATCTTACCTATAGGTATCTTTTCTTTTAACGCTTTCAATATATTGTTTGTGTCTGGTATATGTTTGAGACGGTCCATATAGTTGTCGAAGTCATTGCATATAATCTTTGAGTCTGGGAATATTGTATGGCACAAATGGGATATATAGAAACTTCCACCGAACAAATCTACAAATGTTAGACCATTCGGTAGTTTCTTAAGTTCTCTCAATAGAATATCTTTACATCTACTCTTATTTCCAAAGAAGGGTAACGGTGGTTTTGTAAAATTCATTTATATATAATAATAAAAATGTTTTTTCCTGAAAAGTGACAGAAAAGTGACAAAACATGAAAACATATATAATTTGTGAAAAGCGACACATTATATAATGTTTTCGACCCAGAAGAAGGCTTCTCAAAGTATACTTCCTTGGAACGCCTGTAACTTTTCCTGTAGCGACGATAGACCCTTACTTGTCCGGACAAAGTTATACTAAACATCTTCAGGGCTAGAGGGCACGAAGTGCCTGGAGGCCCCACACACCTGACCTAATGTTATATTTTCTACCGCCCTAAATTTGTTGTCAGTAGATTTTTGGTCGAATCTTTTGAACCTTCTTACGTTCTGAAACCCAGGATAAATCCATGAGTTTTTAATCAAAGACTACCAAATACAGCGTTTAGGAGTAAAAGATAATCGAAAAATCAATCGTTGATATTTTTTTGTTCTCAAAATATTTTGTTATCCATTCAATTTTGATCGTTTTCTATTAATGGGAGAAAAAGAAATTCAACGTTTAGCCGGAAGACCACCACTAGTTACGATTTTAATCTTAATGATTGGTCCTCTGTGCTCACAAATCACGAGTACTCTTTACGGAATTATCAACACCATCTGGATTTCGAAATATATTGGGGAATCTGGTATGTCTGCTGTTGCAACTGACATTGCATGGGAAGGTATTGCTAGATCATTCGATTATTCCTTTCTATCGCAGCAAGTACACAGATTTCGGCTTTATTTGGCCAAAAGAAATTTGAAGAATGCGAACAAGTTGCCTGTGATCTTTATAGGACAGCGATAATATGCGGAATTATTGTTCCTGCTCTATTGATCCCCATAAACAAACCATTTTCTCGTTGGTTCAAAGCAACAGATCAAACAATTGGACTAGCGTTCGATTACATAGTACCTCAAGCCGTAGGAAACATTTTCACATGCATATTCTACACGAATGTCGGCTTTTTGCAGGCAGAAGGCCGCACTTTACTTGTCGGAATTATCGATATCATAGCATTAGGCGTTGGTATGGGTATTCTTAACCCATTATTCTTAGGAACCCTCAAAACAGGTATCGCTGGCCCATCATACTCTACGATTATCGCAGATGGAGTTCCCGGAATCATATTAACGATTTTATTCTTCTGTGGCAAATTTGGTGTTAAGCCAAAACTGAATGGACTTCTCAAACCATTCAGCCATTCCACGTACCAAGCTTTACTCACAGGAAGTTCCCAACTTATCTCTCAAGTTTCCTCATATATTCCTGGTATTATTTTGAGGAGATTTATCGGATTGAGTTTACCTGAAGCAAAAGAATATGACTTAGCCATGGCTGCATTCAATGTTGTCTGTCGATGCACAGGTGTAGCAGTTGCTGTTGTTATGGCTTTGTGTACTGGATTCCTTCCAGCAGCTTCTTATGCTTATGCAGCTCATTTGTATTCGAGATACATCAGATTGGCAATTCATTTGAATTGGATTGATTTTCTCTGGTGTTTGATTGTTTTTATTTTCGGTATGTGGTTCCCTGTACAGATTGGTTCGATTTTTGGAAGTGGAGAAGAATATTTGAGATGGAATGTCAAAGAACTTCCAGCTGCGAACTGGGGAACAATTGTTTTCTTCTGCAGATACACGATACAATCAATGTTGCAGTCTCAACAGAGAGGAAAGAGAGCCATGGTCATTTCTTTCATTTCTAACTTTATTGTTACAATTGCTTCGAGTTATGTTTTGTATTTATTGTATCCGAAGAAGACAGAGAGACTTCTTTGGTCATTTAGTTTGGCTTCTGTTGTTGGATTCATTTTAGGATCTATTTTGCTTATTAAACCTTTCGCAGAAATCGTCAGAAAGAGAAATAATCCAGAGCTTGACAAAGAAGACGATAAAGAAAAAGTTGAATCATCTGAAAGTGGTGATGAAAAGTTGAATATGATGGGAAATTCAGACATGAGTTCTTCTTCAACACCAGATATTCCTTCTTTATAATATTATCTTTTTGTTTTATATTAATAAAGTTTTCTATTCAAATTATTATATTTTTGTACTAAAACATGGGATTATTGATAGCATTGTTTACAAAAATGTACGTTATTTACTATTGAGCATTAATTAAGAGATCTTTTTAGATTCTTGAAAGATGTATTATGAAGAATGAATGCTATTTTACGTTTATTCTTAAAAATACTAATTCTCTCATTGCGAAAAAATATCTTTAAGTGTGTCCATGTGAAGATTGGTAAACTCAAAGTTAACCTTAATCAATTTTTCAATGTGTGGAATGGAAAGTTTAAAAGCATTCGATGTATTGGCTTATCGTCTCCTGCACACTCTTAAGGATGCACTTATACCAATGTTAATTTTCAATCTATTGACGACTGTCGTGAAACATGATTGAAAATTAACTTTAAAAATCTGAATTGAAAGTCATGTCATAGGGGCGTAAGTGCACCCTTATGTTTCAAAAATTTTCCACAGATTTCAATTATGTAGTTTAAGGTTAATTTTTTATAGACTATTCACATATGTTGTCAGAAATTTGAACTAATATCATATTGGCGTAAGTATTCACTAGTGTGATTAATTTTATTCTAATAAGAGGATAAATGTAGATAAAGAATGTTGTATTTCATTATTTCTTTTATTTGAACATAAACAATTTCCGGTTTGAAAGTATATTTTTGGAAATTGTGCAGTAAATGGATCGTTAGTAATTATAGAGCAATTTTCAGCAGAATTAACCTGCAATTTTTTATCATAAAAACAATTTTTCAGGTTTACAACATTTAATACATTAGTTCGTGTGTTATTATAAAAATATGAATTTTCAATCAAAAGTTCAAAACCTTGAAAGTTAAAGATCAATTGCTGGGATGATTCCAATGAGTGGACTAGCAAATTTCTGCATGTTCCTTTGTTCGAAGAAGGACATAATCCTTTTGGTGCTTTGCATTTGAAAAAAATACAATACTCATGAAGTGAGGCAAATCCATAATATCCTGCGTGCAGACCTGGATCTAAATCGTTTGCTGTATTATATGAACAATTTATGTCAGAAAAAAGCACATTTCCATAGTTTAGCATATATAAATAGATATCGACTTGACAATTTTCAAATGATGACATATTAGTTTGCATTGGCAAATCAAGCTTTGATTCTACGAACGATGCTGCAATACTTCTTTGTTTACCCGAACATTTAATTGAAAAAATTTTCTTACAAAATATTGATTTTCCGATATGAAAATAGATAGGACATCCATAATATGAATCAATGTGATGAAATGTTTCAATAGATCTACAACTTCGGCAAAGTAAAGAATTGATATTCAAAGTTGAAAGCAGATTGTTAATATATATGCAGCCAGAAAAGAAGGTTTGAAAACTATCAAACATTACATCTTCAACTAAATATTTATTTGTCTCAACTTCATTTAATATCAGTTTTGAAATTGTCACTTTCCATATTTTCACAATCAAATTTTGTAAAGCTCACAATCTGATCTCATAAATTAAGGTTAAAATTGTAAATCATGTCCTTTGTAGGAGCCATTTCAAATATAATTACAAAGAGTTATGATTAATTTTAGAACCAAAACAATGTGAATATTTCGATTTTGAAGTTTTTATTACAATGAATTAGAATTAATGAGTAAATTATCAATTAGATAGAATAACAAAGAGGTAAGAATTAATAAGATTGAGGAGGGATGATTGAAAAACATAATTACAAGTATTACAGTTGACAGTCTTGATTACATTCAGAAGCGTTATGTTTACATAACCATGACCATCATTACTGACACTTAAATACGTCTTTTTGTTTCTAGAAAACGACCCACCGCCTCCACCACTATAAACATTGTCTGATGAATCTCGTTTAGCTCCTGCACCACCTGAATACCCCCCTCCGCCTCCTGTACCCATATTTGCAGAGCCTCCACCTCCCCCACCTCCGAATCCACCATCCCCACCTTCATCATTACCATCATTATATCTTGTTCCACCAATTCCACCATTTTTTTGGGATCTTCCTCCTTGAGCTCCTGCTGAACCAGGTGAAAATGAATGTAAAGTTGGATTATTTCCACCTGTTCCATCAGTGAGCCATCCTGCACCTCCCCCAGCCCAATAATCATAATTTCCTTTGTTTATTCCGCCGCCATTTCCATTTGTTCCTCCTAAATCACCAGTCCCAGAATTTTGACCATTTTCAGTAAATGAAGCATCTTTGTTTGATGATGAAGAAGGAGAGCCACCTCCACTACCCCCAGCTGCTATCATTGGATTACTTACAGATGTATTTTCGAATACAAATGTACCTCCTCCACCTCCTGGGGCTGCTTTGGCAACTCTTTTTCTTGTATCTTCACCTTTTTGGCCGACCAAAATTTTGATAACTCCACTTTTACTTAAATTGAATTCTGACTCGACGATTGCACCATATCCTCCTCTTGTGTTTGAATATGTGTACATTCCACCTGCAGCTCCTGCAGCTCTTATTCGATACAACCCAGTTACAGGGACAGTCCATTCTTGAATACCTTGAACTGACATTTTCAAGAAATTGGAATTTTGTGCCCAAGTAATGCCGCTATAAGCAGCTTGAACTTGCGCAAGAGTAGGACCATTCGGACCGGTCACTCCTGCGTTTGTGAATATGTGTGAGCTAAACTCGTATAACTTACTAATTTCCTAATATTTATCAAATAATATAACAAAGAAAAGTTATGGAATATCATAACATAAGATGAACACAATTGGAGACTATGCATATCATTGTTTTGCATATGAAAATTATATAATTTATTTATCATTATATTTTGAATAATTTTTAACATTATCATAATCAACACAGTTAATAGAATAAATTCTTACATATGTGACGTATTAGGTTATCAATTCATTCTTAAAGAAATCATTCTATTGTAAAAGACCCAAAAAACATGACATTAGCGGTTTTAAAATATGACACATCTTATAAAATCTTTAAATATAACTGTGAAAATTTCATTATATAAAAATCTTTCAGAAATAAATGCACATTTGAAATTGTTTGATTTATACTTCCTTTGATCAGTTCCTTTCTAATATATGAAATAAAATTTTTATATCAAATCACAACTATGGATAACATAAAAATATAAAAGTTTGGTTTATAATATATTTTATTCGAGCACAAACAGTTGATCATTCCAAAATCAATTGTTGGTAAATATGAAGTTAATGGATCATTATGAATTATAGAACAATTAATGGCTGATGAAACATTCAATTTTTTATCATAAAAGCAAACTTTTAGATTAATAATTCCAAACACATTTATTAGTGTGTTGTTGTAAAAATATGAATTTTCAATTGACAGAGTCAAGCCAGCGTTGTGATAAATTAAATGTTCAGTTGAAACTATTGTGTGGACTAAAAGGTTCCTACAGGAACAATTTGTAGATGAGGGACATAAGCCATATTTAGAACTACAATGAAAATAAATTAAAAACTCATGAAATGACTTAAAGCAACCATATCCCGCATGAACACCTGGATCAATAACTTTTGCAGAAATATAGGAATTGTTTATGTCATTAAAAATTATATTGCCATATCCTAACAAATATGAACACTGTTCAGAATATATTTGGCAATTATAGAGAGATGACATATTTGTTTGCATTGGTAAATCAAGTTTGGACTTAACAAGAGAAGCAGCAATACAACGCTTATCACTCGAGCATTTTTCGGCAAAAAACTTTTGGCAAAAGATCGATCTTCCAATATGGAAATATGCAGGACATCCATAATCAGCATCAATATAATATCGAGAACCGACCGATTTACAATTTCTGAAAAAAATTGATTCAACAAATAATGTCGAAAGAGAATTATTGATAAATATGCAACCGGCAAAATATGCTTGAAATCCATCGAATTTTGTATTTTTCACAACATATTTATTTGCCTCAATTTCATTTATAATCAAATTCTTTTTGTAAAATAAAAAAGTGACAGTTTTATAAAAGCTACAAATCAAATTAAGATATACAGTATATTGAAATATAACTAGAAGGCATGCAACATTCATGAAATAACTGAAAGCAATTTATCAGGCATGAATTCAATGAAAATTAATACGCTTCTTAAATCAGAATGATTTCATTAAAAATGGGACGATTACACAAATGTAACCTCTGAATCTTCAAAATGGTTTCAAATAATATTTCAAATTTAGGGGACTAAAAAACAAACTATATATCTTAATTTTCAATAGAAAAATCAACGCATGATAATCAATAAATAACTGATAAAAATATTTCTTTAGAATTCAAATATGTTACCAAAGGACTATTGAACATTTTTGCTGCAAAATCCCCGAAGAAAAGGCTTCAGTTCATGATTTTCGAAGAATTAATACAAAATTAGATTGAATAAATGTCAGTTTTATATTAAAACTACAAAAATAAGAAAAACATTTAACCCAAATTTCATCTGACAGTATTTATTATTTGAATTGAAGCAATTCCAAGTTTGAAAATATAAATTTGGTAAATAGGAAGTCAAAGGATCCTTAATTATTTTGAAACAATTTTCAGTAGTTACACCAGTCAAATCTTTGTCATAGAAGCAATTTATCAACTTAATGATGCCATTAAAATTATTTTTTGTATTATTGAAAAAATATGAATTTTCAATTGAGAGAGAATATCCTCGAACTTGATAAAGTAATTGTTCAGATGTTATTGCTGAATGAATCATAATATTTCTGCATTTTACAGAATTTGAATTAGTAGGTAGGAAACCCTTAGGACATCTTCCATGATAAAAAATACAATACTCATGAAATGATTTATAGGGAGAATATCCGGCATGGACACCTGGATCAAGAATATTTGAATTGACAAATGATGTATTTACATCATTAAATATTACATTTCCATAACCAAGAATATAGTTACATTCACCTGAATTTATTTGACAATTTTCAAGTGATGTCATGTTTGTTTGCAATGGTAAATCGATTTTGGATGTTACAAGAGAAGCTGCAATACATCGTTTTTCACTAAAGCATTTTTCAGCAAAAAATCTTTGACAATAGATCAATTTTCCAACATGGAAGAATGCAGGACATCCATAATCAGCATCAACATGATATCGAGCACCAACAGATTTACAATTTCGAAAAAATGCTGAATCAACTAACAATGTCGAAACGGAATTATATATATAAATACAACCAGCAAAGTATGATTGGATTCCATCGAATCTGGTATTCTTCACCAGATAAGTATTTGTCTCAATCTCATTTACAATCAATGGTTTAGCATAACCATATCATCGTAAAATTATCAGAGAATTTTTGTAAAATTCTCTTATTTTCAAATATTAGCTTAACCTAACAAGAACCTCAAAATCCAGAATCGAAAAGATAAACTATTTCAATGATAGTAAAAAAAACTAAGTCTGTTTGATGTAGACAATTCGTTAATTGTAAACATTTCAAATCCTAGTGGAAGGTAAATCTTTTAAGGTTGTCAATGTTATGTTGAAGGTAATTTTTTCTTTAGCTTTTCTATTTGTACATTACTTTTATACAAATGTCAAAAACGATTATTTTCAATTCAATTTATACAAAATTCCATATTTTTATGTAAAAATTCATGAGAATTTTAATATCAAAAATAAAATATCAAGAATTATTAATAATTAGAATTAAAAGGAATAAATTCGAATCCAAAATTGCACGATTCATTTTAATGGCAGAACAAACACAATGAATTGCAAGAATATCAATTTTTGGTAAAGATGTTAGCGGATCAGAAAATTTTTTTTTGCAATTAATTGCAGATGAAACATCTAATTCTCGATCATAGAAGCAATCCTTTAAATTCACTTCACCAAATACATTTGTCAGTGAATTATTATAAAAACATGAATTTTCAATAGAGAGGGCAACAGATGGATAGTTATAGATTAACATTTCAGAAGATACTAAAGAATGAACTATCAAATTTCTACATTTTCCATTGGTGGTTAAAGGAGACAATCCTTTTCGTGAAATACAATAGTAAAAAATACAAAACTCATGAAATGATTGATAGCAATCATATCCAGCATGAACACCAGGTTCAATTTCTTCTGCAAAATTAAATGAACAATTTATATCCGAAAAAATAACATTTCCGTTATTATGCATATAAATTAATTGGTAATTAATTCTACAATTTTCAAATGAAGACATGTTTGTTTGCATTGGTAAATTTGATCGTGAATCTACAAATGATGCAGCAACACATCTTTTCTCACTCATGCAGTTTTCAGCAACTAATTTTCTGCAGAATATCGAATTTCCATAATGAAAATAAGCAGGACATCCATAATCAGTATCAATATAAAATTTTCTACCAATAGAATTACATCTTATAAATAGAATAGAATCAACAATTAACTTAGATAACGAATTATTAATATAAATACATCCAGCAAAATATGTTTGAAACCCATCGAATACTGTATTCTTCACAAGAAACTTATTTGTATCGATTTCATTTATGATCAATTTTTTTGATATGTCACGAAAGAGATCAAATCAAAGCCACTTTTTCGGATTAAAAAAAAAACTCAAATCAAATTCAAAAAATGCGTGAATTCATTATTTCTAGCCTGAGAATTTAAACTACCATAATATTAGACAGTGCATATACAAATTAGATAAATGCGATAACATCAAATCCAATAATTATATTTTAAGAGAATCTGTCACTTTTTCAGAAAATTATCAATATAAAAAATATCAATGAATCATCACAACTAAAACACTATTAAAGAATTTTCTAATCTTTGGAATGCTTCATACTTTAATCATAGAATAAGCGTCCTTAATTTATCAATTGTCTTTATATTGAAAATTTATTCTCATCGCGAGGATATTCTGACTATTAAGAACATTTAAATATCAATAGTTTTTGATTGTTCATTTAAAAATATACTAAATATCCTTTAAAAAATTAAATTTTTCGTTTAAAGGTTCAAATTATTCCACATCTGAGCCATATGTTATTAAATTAAAAAGTGGATATTATCAGGAGGCGGTTCAGGATATTTTGGAGGAAGTTCCTCAGATAGTTCAACAGACTATGGAGCTGGTGGAGGTAGTAGCTACATCAGCGGATATCCAGGTTGTATTGCTATATTACAGAATTCGAGTAAATCACATATGATATTCCAAACTGATGGAGATAAGTCAATTCACTACTCAGGCCTGAAATTCGAACGCCCTGAGATGATTGATGGAAAACATCAAATGAATTCGCCATCAGGATCCATCGAAACTGGACATGTTGGAAATGGATACATTAGAATCACAACAATATATGAATTTCCAAAATGTTCATATGTTAAATATCATCCTCATGACTCCATCTTGAATTATTTCATAATAGTTTTATTTAATATTGATTTCGAAATAAAGAATTAGTTATTTGCAACTATCCAACCAATTTCAAATGATGAGAACTGTAATTTGTAACTCTTTGAGATATTTCTTAAATTAGATATCTTATTAAGGCTGCACTTACGCCCATCTGACTTTAATTCAAATTTTTGACAACTGGCGTGAAGCGCCATTGAAAATTAACCTTAAACATCTGAATTGAAGGCCAAGTCATTGGGGCGTAAGTGCGCCCTTAAACTCCATGATTTAATCTGAAATCCATGAAAATCGTTATATTCAATTTTTATTAACTATCAAATAATAGAATAAAAATATATGTGAAATCGTGAAAATTAAAATAGAGATTTGGATGACATGTAAATTTATAAGAAAGGATGGTTATGCGAATGCAGCCGCGACCTTTGTTGCCAATACCATGTGAATGCTTGTTGAAGTAAAGTGGCATAGATGAATTTCCTCGTTGGATTGAAGGACTTTCGAAGAAATATCCTGAGTAGTGGATAGAACTGTTTGTTGGACTCATTGTTTCATTATCTTCACCTGCCAATGCAATGCATCCTTCATATCCTGAAACAAATGAGCTCCCTCCACCACCAGCACCTGAATAATCAAATGATCCACCGCTAAAATAACCATTACCTCCGTAGCCTCCCATATCTGCTGAGTCTTCAACATATTGAACAAAACCAAAAGCTCCATCAATATGTTTCCAACCGTTATTGGTGGAAGAAAAACCTCCTTTTGTTTGGGTTCCTCCTGTAGAAATTACATCATTGCAAATTTTTTTATATTCACACATAGATTGGCCTGGATTACCTTCAAGACCTCCTCCGTTGCCGCCAATAGAAAGATTCCACTCTGCTCCACCACCACCGCCGGCAACCATGATGCGGGATCGTAGTGACTTGGCATCAAACCATTCAAAATTCTCATTCACATAAAGTCGAACATCTGATGATCCACCTCCAATGTATCCTGTGTATGTTGTTGTATTTACATTATTATATACTGATGTAGAGCCGATAAATAAATATATACTTAAATGTTTATTCAAATTTAAAACTCCAGAAGTATATCCGCCTAATCCAGGTATCCCACCTAAATTGAGATCAGTTTCATTTGGATCTTGGTATGTTCCAACTGAGCCCCATGATTCAATGCGATATGATCCTGGATTGAGATCAACTGTATAAGGAGAACAATCTAAATCAGAATCTTCACAAGGAAAACCAAATGTGTATTGGTCAAAAACTTTTGTTACGTTAGGGATCCCAATTCCAACCTTGGATAGTTTATATGAGATCAAGTTTGAATATTATAGCCTCATAAAAATTCTACTTCGGATTTTTATCATAACCTTATTTTTCTCAATGAAAAAAAATAAAAATAAAATAAAAAAAAATAAAAAAATAAAAATAAAAATAAAAAAATAAAAATGATGATTAGTGTTTGAGTTCTGTTTGTTGAATTACAATAAAATAAAACAATGGAACCAACTCATCAACTATTGTAAAAAAATGATGAATCAAAACCTCATTGGAAGAAGATTCAATACTTATTTACAATCATTTAAAAAAAAGTAAATATAGCAAATATAGGTGTATTATCACGATCATTAGATTCTAAGTTCTGTTTGTTGAACGGCAATAAAATTAAAAAATGAAAATGATTTTAAAAAAATTATCTGTAAAGGAAAATGGTATTTTACAATAACATAATAATGAATGGATGAATGAGAAGATTTGTATGAATGCTGAATTTGATACGACATGAATAGAGAGATTCACAGTCATAGATGCAGCGTTTAGGAAGTTTACAATGGTTGATGAGTTGGTTTAAGAAGATTTTGCTTCGATTCTCAATCTCGCATTCGCATGAAAGATGATCACACGATTTGAATGCATCGTCACCAACTTCGATAACACTAGATGGAATGTTGATCATCTTAAGATTACTGCAACCTTCGAATGCACTTTGTGAGATGGTTGAAACACTACCACTAGGGATCATGACAATAAGAAGATTAACACAGCTCATGAAAGCACCTTCACCAATAGTCTTAGTGCTGCCTGGAAGTGAGAAGAATTTCACTTTAGATGCAGGTGGGAACAAGATGAGAGATGTCATCTCGCTGTTGAAGATTTATGATAAAAATCCTAAATAATACTTTATATATATATTCAATATCTGAATTCGTGGAAATTTTTCATGTCTTCACAGCTGTTGTAATCTTTACAATGAGGTTCGAAATTTTCTTATTGTAAACCATAGAAAATTAAATCCGAATTTAAAAACTTCTGTTTACATTTTTTACGTTAATATAGGCAATAACTGAGTGATCATATTATTAATGCATCAGGAAGTATTATATATGAGTTTGATAAATCCTTTACAGGTAGTATTGTTGTTACCAATCCAAATTATAAAATAATTTCTTATAAAGCTTGTTTCTGGGGAAATTGCACATCATTAGATCTATCTCAATCAAGAATAGAGTTTATAGATGGCGCAGCATTCCTATTTTGCTTGCAATTGGTAACAATAAAACTTCCAGAAACTCTAATTTCTTTGAATAACAATACCTTCGGATTAATTGCAATTTCTTCTGTACATCTGGGACCAAATTTGAGAGATTTCACTGGTTATGCATTTAATCAGTGCACAAATCTAAATACTTTTACGATTGATGATAATAATCCATATTTTACAGTTGTAAATAATTTTGTATTTAGTAAAGACATGAGTAGACTTGTTCGATCTCCAAATAATTTTGAAGAAGACGATATCCCTAATAAAGAGATGATAACCAATTTGGGAAATTTTGTTTTTTCAGGTTCCACATATCATAAATTTGTTGGATGGAAAAACTTATTAAAATTAGATGGAGTAACTTTTCATGCAAATAATAACTTAGAAATAGTTAATCTTTCTTTGACAAAAGTTGAATCACTAGAAGAATCATGCTTTTTTATCTGTCCAAATTTAAAAACAGTAATATTACCTTCATTTTTGAATTCAATTACGACATTTGGTTTTAATCAGGTTGATAAACTTGTTGCGATTTCAATTCCTGCTACTGTGAATGTTTTAGATGAATCATGCTTTTATGAAATGAAAGGTTTGAAAGTTGTTTGTTATTATGGGAATGTATCATTCTCCGGAAAGAGTTTGTTTTATGATACTCCAAATGTAAGATTTGTTAGAGTTTGTCCTTTGTATCCATCGGAAAGGTTTTCATCATTTGTTGTTTCATTTGATGCATATCAACTTGGGGAAACTTTAATTCCTTGTCCAACAATTCAAAATATTCAATTTTCCATTAGTTATCTTCTGAGTTTTGTCAATATAATTTCATGAATAAAAGATTTTATAATACCGCTGTTATTTTGATTAAAATATATAATTATCATGCAATATGTGACTTTTAGAATCACCAAAAACGATGATAGAGGAAGTTTGGGCATTGTCAAATTTGTAAATTCTATTGTTGTTCTTAAGAGTTTGCTTTCCCCTTTTTGATATTCACTCAATTTTTTGACGAAAGAGCTTCAAAATTTGGATATTAATGACTTGCGCAATATACCGTTATAAATATTAAATTTAAACAGAAAAATATGGTAAATTTTACTGTGAAATCTACTTCACCCTTTTGAAAATGTCAAATCAATTGAGAGAATGTCAGAAAAAGGTAAATTCGCTCTTTAAAAAATATCCATATCAAACGTCAGACTGAGTTTTTAAAAACATCTCATTCACCCTTTCATTGTTATGTTATTGTAAAATATCATATTCCTTTACAGATAATTTTTTCAAGATTTTTTTAAAGATAAACTGCGAGTCAAAAGGCGTACCTACCTTCAAATTTTTGAGAGAAGTCATACAATTAATTATATGAGTTTCTCTCAAAAAGTCGATTTCTGCCAGGTACGCCTTTTGGACCGCATAAGCTATTCGCTCTAATTCGATATAACAACAAAGGATCATAAAACAGATATACATGTAGGATGAACAGATACGATTTTTTCGGGTCTAACTTCAAAATTTAAGATTTCGAAATTTAATTCAAGCCTCAAACCAGAAATTTAAGCATAAATAGAAGCTGCTGTACTACTCATTGCATGTGCAGCTTATTTGAGCTCTAATATTTGATAATTTTCTCTCACTTTCAGTGACGGCACCATTAGCATTAGAAATGTAAACTATTCAAAAATCGATAGGTACGCCTTTTGATTCGAAGTTTACACTTATCACTTTCTGACATTCTCTCAATTTTTATGAGACACAAGCTTTGTATCTCAATATTCTAAGATCAAAAGTTAATATTTTTGGTCAGGAGGAAGAAAATATAAATCAATATATAGTACCTAATATGGCTGCTATACTTTCTCTGCTATTAAAATAAAGATATATTGATTTTTTTCATAGCATGTCAGAAAGTGGTAAGTGCATCTTTAATTTATTTTATTGCATTTTCATAAAATTTAACTTATTTATATATGTGATATTTTAAAGGTTATGAGAAAGTTTAGATAGGTATGTTATTTAATCAATTTTGATAAGTGAACTAAAGGAAAATTGAGAGGATCAATTCACTTGAAAGGAACCCGTGAGGGTTATGATAAAAATCCGAAATAACACTTTTATAAGGCTCTAATATTCAAACATGATTTCATACAGACTATCCAAGAATGGAATAGGAGTACTGAATGTCACAAAAGTTGCTGATCAATACACATTTGGTTTTCCTTGTAAAGATTCTGATTTAGATTGTTCTCCTTATACAGTTGATCTCAACCCAGGATCATATCGAATTGAATCATGGGGTTCGGTTGGAGTTCATCAAGAGCCGAGTGAAAATGCACTTCTAAGAGGTGGAACTCCAGGATTGGGCGGATATACCTCTGGAGTTTTAAATTTGAATAAACAGTAGTTAGTATCATGAAAGTTGGTACCAAGGGTCTACGCCCCTCAGTCCCCCTTTTCATGTTTGACAAAATAATCGGATATCGTAAATTTACAAAATATATTTTTGACTTCTATGGATTGGGGAGCCTGAAAAAACAACTGTTCCAAGACACGTTATACTTTCTTTATGAGGGATATCGTCTTCTTCAAAATTATTTGGAGATCGAACAAGTCTACTCATGTCTTTACTAAATACAAAATTATTTACAACTGTAAAATATGGATTATTATCATCAATCGTAAAAGTATTTAGATTTGTGCACTGATTAAATGCATAACCAGTGAAATCTCTCAAATTTTGACCTAAGTGAACTGATGATATTCCAATTAATGCAAATGCGTTCCAATCTAAGGAAATTAGTGAATCAGGTAATAATATTGTTGTTAATTGCTCGCAATGTACGAATGCTTGAGATCCAATCGACTCTATACATGATTTCGATAGATCTAATGATATGCATCTACCACTTTTGCACGCTGAATAGTAAATTGTTAGCTTCACTGTTCATAATGTCCTTTGAAGCTAAAGCATAAGCATTTCATTAAAAGATTGCAATATTTATTGCACGAAATAAAAAACCAATTTCCTTATTACGACACATTTAGTATATGTGATCTATATGCAATATATATTCTTGAGAATATGACTTAAATCCGATCAAAAAAAAGTGTCTGTATTTCTCATGCAATCTCCTTGTGTTATAATCTAAAAACCTTATTTATTCAAGTTTCGTTTATCAAAATAAAGACAAACATATTAGAGGTTTTAAAAGAATAGAATGAATTTTTACATGAAGGAATATAATTGAGAATCGTAATTCTGATCGCGCCACGAGATCTGTTTCCAATTCCGATTGAGTTTCGTTTGTAATACAGAGGCATTGTTGTGTTTCCTTGTTGCATTGATGGGCTCATGAAAGAGATCCCAGAATAATGTACTGAAGAATTCGTTTCACTTGGATTTTCATTTTCAGAACTGTTTAGTGCTATACAATTCGGAAATCCTGATACGAACGAACTTCCTCCTCCACCAGCTCCTGCGTAATTGAGTGTGGCTCCGCTCCAATATCCATTTCCACCAAGCCCACCATGATCAGATGAGGTTTTATGTAATGATACAATTCCAAACCGTCCATCTAAACCTCCAAATCTTCCAATTTTTGAGGCAATACCACCAAAAGTTTGTGTTCCACCAGTTGAAATTATATCAGGACAAACATATCCATGTGTGCAGTCACTCACACCTGATGCACCAACCAAACCACCACCATGGCCGCCAATTGATGCCTCCCATTCAGCACTTCCTCCACCCCCGGAAACCATAATTCGAGAGCGAAGAGATTGCGGATCAAACCATTCTCCTTTTTCGTTGATATATAATCGAACATCAGATGATGCCCCTCCATATACGGCATTAATTGGATAAGACAAATAATTATTGAAAATCGATCGTGAACCTACGAATAAATAGAGTGTTTGCGATTGACCAACACTAAGGATCCCCGATGTATACCCACCTTGGCCAATATTTGCATTGCTTCCCCATAGGTTAGAACTTGATCCCCATGCTTCGATTTGAAATAACCCAGTTGACAATTTTACAGTATATGAAGTGCATCTGCCATATGAATCTCCACAAGGATATCCGAAAACATATTGATTTCGGTCAATAGTAACATTTTCTTTGCCATAACTACTATTGGTTAATTTATATTGAATCAATTAATTTGTGTTTCCATTCAAAAAAATCTGTTTTAGCTAGGGTTGTTAGATTCCCGACGATAGGTGTCTTGGAAGATTTGCCTGGTGTCATCATAGTGTCTTTAAATCAAAAATTTTATTTTGGAGTTAGTTTTATTGATTTTTCAATAAAAAACATTTCTAAAACAAGAAAATAAAACGATAAAATATTTATATTTTATATAAGGATCTTATATATTTAAAATAAATATCATTTTATTTTTTTCATTGGTGTCTGTCAAACCATAATACACTATTCAAAAATTCAATGTGTCTTGCGGTTTCAAAAGACACCTTCAAATTGAACGATAGCACAGACACTATTGAATTTTACCCATTGTATTTAGTTTTTACCCTTTTTATTTTTAAGAATTAATGACTGAAACAGTCGTTTTGCTATGACCTCAATCACTTTTATTTATTATTTTAAATATTATTTAATTTTATTATTTGAATAGGCCAACTTATATTTGAGAAGCTCAATTTGAGACCACTTAATACATTGAAATATCATAAATATTGAAATATTAAAAAGTGTATTTCAAAATATTGAAATTATAAAAATTTATAATACTGAAATTGAGACAAATTAATAAATTCAATGCGTTTTTTTTGAAATAACTCTCAAATATTATTTTTTTGTTTATTTAATGATGAATAAATATGATTGCTTTAGTCAATCATAAAAACTCATTTAAGTTTAAAATAATGAAAGGATAATTTGATCGTTTTTTAAAATACAATTATTTTTGATGATTTGCAAGAATCTTTGAAAAGAATATAATATAGGTTCTATTTTTGTAAAATTTATCCAAATCATTTATTACATAAATTACGATTAAAACGATGAAAGAACCAAAAAGTGTGTTTTGTGTTTTGTTGTTGCGTGTTGGATGCGGGATCCTGTTATTTCCGAAATCGACAAAAAATTTGGAAATTTAATTTCCGAAATCGAAATTATATTAATGTTTTTAATATTCTTATATCAAAAGGATTAAAGTTCATTAAGAGAAAAACAATTCTTCTTCTTCAATCTATTGGCGCATTTATTTCTACACGCCAATAAGGAAGGGAAAATTATAAGACACCATGGTGTCTTCAAAACGCTAATTTTTGATATTTTTAACAACCCTAGTTTTAGCCTTAATCTTTCCCAATTTTGAAAGGGAATTCAAATTTACAAAATTTTCTCTTTCAAATCAAACTTAAGCTTTATCCTTAAGGGAATTGTAATCAATGAATTAAGAATTTTTTTCCAATCAATTCTTGATGAATCATGGACAGTTTTTTTACCAAACTACAGTTGAAAGAAATGAAGTTTATTATACAGAAATTATTTCTTGTGGAAATTCCAAGAGTTATTATTCTTCAGTTTTATACAACGGTAGATTAGTAAATAAATACAATAACTTCTCTCACAACAAATGTTTACGACAGTGTGGCCATCACATGCTTTTGAACACAGTCAACTCTTCAATATCAATGTATTTAAATATTATAAAGAACGAAGGGGAAGGAATCATAAACAATTTCCAGACTTTGTTTCATTTGATTAAATACACAAATACTGTTCAAAACACAATTACAAAAAGTAACCAATGTTTAGTTTATTTAGATGTTAATTCAACAGCTTTATTGATTTCATGCGTTATGAAAGATAATATTTTGAATTCAGGAGTTTTTTAGCATGTTCAAATCAATCAAATTCGATAACATTGAATGGTTGTTACATTGATTCTTATGAAGAAACAGAAAGAGTTACATTTAATCGATAATGTTATAAAATTTAATCTGATCCCAGATTCTCTCTCCTACAATAAAAGATTTTTAGATTGTCAAACATATTCTGTTATTTATTATCAATTTCATTTTTCTCTATTTTTTGTATGCATCGATTTGACATAACTTAATAAATTATTTTCCTTTTTTCAGCATACTGTTGTTACCAAAATGGGCTATCAGTTTATTGGGCCAATAATTTACAACTTTAAATGATAGGCTATTCATTTCCTATATTTAATCTTTTTCACTAAAAAATATTTGTTTTGCTGGGAATAAAAAGTTCAAAATGAATACGCTCATATTCCATTTTTATTCAAGAAAAATAAGAAATGATGTAAATATTTGATTTAAAATGAAATACTGGCAAAATAGATTAGTTTGTATTTGACAATCCTTCCTCATATATTTTTTGTTATTAGTTCTAATCCAAAGATCAACCCATTTAACTTTAACACCATAAGGACCAGGAATATAAAATGTTTGGTAAATTTGGTAAAGACCAATTGAAAACCACCAGCTTTCTAATCCAGATCCAATAGTTCCATCAATGTATGCTTGGGGATCTTGGGAAAACGCAAGTCCATTGAAATAATTAAACTTGGTGCCAGAAATATGCTTAAATACAATTCCTCTACCATCACTATTTGGATTAGTAGTTTGATTGAATCTAATAAATGCTGGCATCTGTGGATATTCAAGAAGGAATTCATAAACGTTATTAATCAAAAAATCTTCATTTATTAATCAAAAAAATATATTTGTGTATTGATCTAATATAATGTACATCTCCTTCATTGAAGCAGTCATCGACTGATCTGAAAACGTCATGATGAAAGATTTGTAGCCAAGAAACGTTTTCAAATTCTTTGATGCGATATCCATCAAGATCATTATATAATTTCTCATCTATTAATGGATAATTTGAGTATGCCGTTCTTCAATAAGAGTTAAAATTCAAAATTAACTTTTTAAAATTTTGATAAAAAAAAATTAAAATTCTCCAGACCAATTAGAAAAATTTCAATCAAATCTATAAATAATAATACCAAGAAATTATATGTTGATTAAATATTTGAATATAACAATGAAACAATTATAGTACTCAAAATTTGAAAGAACGATATTGGAGACAAAATTCATAATTTTTAATGGTTCGTGAAATAGTGCACATCCAAGCTGGACAGTGTGGTAACCAAATCGGTACAAAGTTCTGGGAAGTTGTTTCAGATGAACATGGAGTGGACCCAACTGGAAAATACTTTGGAGATTCAGATCTTCAACTTGAAAATATCAACGTATATTTCAATGAAGCTATAAACAGTAGATATGTCCCTCGTGCTGTTCTTGTAGATCTGGAACCCGGAACGATGGATTCAGTCCGAGCAGGTCAATACGGACAACTATTTCGTCCTGACAACTTCATTTTCGGTCAATCAGGTGCTGGAAACAATTGGGCCAAAGGATATTACACAGAAGGACAGGAACTTTGTGATCAAATCATCGATATCATCAGAAAAGAAGCTGAATCATGCGAATATTTACAAGGGTTTCAGCTTGTTCATTCTTTAGGAGGTGGAACAGGTTCTGGACTTGGAGCACTATTATTAAATAAATTACGAGAAGAATATCCAGATAGAATTTTAAATACATATTCAATTATTCCATCTCCAAAGGTATCCGATACAGTTGTTGAACCATACAACTGTATGCTTTCAGTTGATCAATTTGTTGAAGCTTCCGATGAAGTCTTTTGCATTGATAACGAAGCACTTTATGATATATGCTTCCGTACACTTAAGCTTACAAATCCAACATATGGAGATCTCAACCATTTGGTTTCAATGGTTATGTCTGGAACTACTTGTTCCCTCAGATTCCCAGGTCAGCTCAACTCAGACCTCAGAAAACTTGCTGTAAACCTTGTTCCATTCCCACGTTTACATTTCTTCGTAGTTGGTTTTGCCCCGCTTTATTCACGTGGATCACAACGATACATTTCCAATTCTGTTTGTGAGATTTCATCTCAACTTTTCGATGCAAAGAACCTATTGGCAGCATGTGATCCTCGCAGAGGTGTTTTCTTTACTGCATCTGCACATTTTCGTGGCCGCGTTTCCCCACTGACAGTCGATGAGCAATTAGCATGCATTCAATCACGTAATTCATCTTATTTTGTTGATTGGATACCATCAAACTTCAAATCAGCAATTTGTGACATACCACCACCTGGTCTCAAAATGGCAGCTACATTCATTGGAAACACCACAGCATTTCGTAATCTTTTCAAAAGGGTTGATTCCCAATTCCAAAAGATGTATTCACGTCGAGCTTTTGTTCATTGGTTCGTTAATGAAGGCTTAGATGCTGTGGAATTCGATGAAGCACGTTCTAACATGGCTGATCTAATACAGGAATATGAAATGTACGAAACGCCTGGCATAGAACAGCAAGAAAGCGAAGAAAACGAATAATTAATTAAGCTTAATGCAACAAGTAAAATTATAATTTTAATAATCAAATTCAATAATATTTTTACTCATTTTTATAACCAGATGTACATTTATTAAGTTGCCTGAAAAATTGAAATAAACAAAAAATGAAAAATTAAATAATAGGAATTGCTTAAGGATTGACATTTAACAACGCAATTAATACAAAAATTAGAAATTATTTTAATTTCAACATATCCTTCCCCATCATTTCCTCCATCAATAAATTTTGATTTGGTTCCAGATGTAAATGAAGAAGCGCCAAGAGATCCACAACCCACACCTGTAACATTTCCACCTTTCCAACCTCCTGGACCACCAGCACTATTCCAGCTTGCACCTCCACCACCAAATCCTCCATATGAATAATAATCATCCTTTGGGGAATAAGAACCAACTCCACCTGACAAAAAACTTGCACCTCTTCCATCGGATGATAGAGATTTGTACCCTGATCCCGCATATCCATCACCAGAAGTATAACCTCCGCCTTCTTCTGTTATTATACTTGAAATCCCATCAGTTCCATTTTTCCCATTGATCGGACAATTTGATGCGATGTCTAAATCCCCTGAACTTCCTCCAGCACCAGCAATTATTAACGGTTTTACTGTCGTTTTTACTGGTTGCAGTGTTTCTGAACTATAAGGATCTTCAATAGCAACAAAAGTTCCTCCACTTCCACTTTGCCCCCAATTGGATGCCACAGTTGTTCCAAACTGTCCAACTAAAATATAAATATTAGAGTTTTGCTTGATTTCAAATTCTGATGATAAAATCGCACCTTTTCCATATTTAATATTGGGAAATGATGTACCTCTTGGTCCTGCTGCTGTTATTTGATATTTTCCTGTGACTGGTGCCTTCCATTTCTGAATTCCTGAAAAAATCATAACATTTACCGACGAATTATGATAATATGCATTTGCTTGTTCTTGTGTTGGACCTTGCCAACCAATAACTCCACATGATGTGAAATGATATGTAAAATTATCAGAATTTTTAAAGTTAATTTGGTATAAGATCTATAATTCAAATATGGGAGTGAAAAGAATGAATTATTGAAAGGGAAATATCTTTTATCATTGTGAATTTGATACCATAAATTATATCAAAATAGAAGTGTGCCCACTTTCAATATTAGCATCTTAGCTTATCTGTTCATTCTGTAAAATACCTAGGCCTAGTTATGCATATATCTATAAATCTAGTTCGCATCTCTTTTATCGAAGTCAAGTATTTGATTAATTTATTGAAAATCATATTCAATATTCATTTTCCTATTTAGGAATGTAACATTTAGGTAGCATTAATATATGTCTGATTCAATATAATATGATTGGATTCAAATTCAGTTAAATCAAAATCATATTTATGGAAAACTAGTCATTTTAAGTCTTGTAATCTTAATAATAAAACAAATTCATGGAAATAATTTTAATTTTAAAACAAAATCATTCCTTTGAACAGATTTTAAATTTGAGATCTGAAAAATATAATCAGAATTTTCTGCAATTTTGTGGAAGCTATCATGCTTATTCTTAATCAATGTTATGTGGACTACATATCAGTGGTTTAAAATCTGCATCAATATCAATAGGATCTTAGATTCCCAACTCAAATATAAAACATGGAAAATTACTTTGATTGAATTAATAAAAGTCGTTTGGAAAAAGGTAGACCAGCAAGCTTTTTACAAAATATCTCACGAAAAATATTAATATCAAGGAAAATGTAAGATATATTTATATGTTTTTATTTAAGAAACCGAAACAGAAATGAAATCAATTAAAGGAAATTCAAAATGATTTCGACACTGACATACTGACCAGTGATTTTTACTTGGCAACATTTCTAAAATATGAAAATCGTCAAAACGGATCCAAAGTTGTAAAGTATGAGTTGGTACATATATATCATTTTTAAAGCATGGTACACCTGGATAAGCATTATCTTTTATCCAATGCTCATTGCCACCAATTGCAAAATTCCATTACCATTGACATTGGCGTTTCCATCAATATATGCAACACCAGTATCAGATAATGTCAAACCTGTAAAGCTATCATTAAAATTTGTGGTTAACCTGCACTCATCGAGTTTGAAATCAATTTCTAAGTTTTCTGCTTTATCAGATTTAAAAGGATTATTAGTTCATGTAAACCAGATGATCTTATCAGATTTTATCACTTTAATTTTAAAATGCCCGATTTAAATTATGCATAATTCATATTCTGTTCCGCATTAAAAGCAAAAATAATCATAGACTAGAGAATTACACTTTTCTAACATTTTTGGGCCACCTTTCGCCCATAACAAAAAGTCGGAAAAGTTTATATTTATTACAATCTAGCAAATGGTGCAAACCCGATAAGCACTATACGTAATACATTAATCCAAACAGTTTACATATTACTTATGCTTTTGTATGAAAATTTTGTTACGATATTGTATCTAAGAATGGAATTGGAAAACAATTGTATGAAAAGTGACAAAATGATATTGTTTAGTTTCATATGCGAGAATTTGATGACTGATTTAAATTCTATATTTAAAAATGTATATAAACAAAATTTGATTGAAACATATGTTAGTGGATCAGCTTCTCAATACATAAATGGTTCAATCCAAATTACAAAACCAGAATACACTTATGATCAAGTTGAAAAGAGGTATGATTGGTGTTCTAATATTGGTAAAACACAAACTGATTATCCATGGATCATCTATACCATTAAAAACCGCATTATCAATTTGAAAGGTTATTATTTGAAATCTGGATGTTGTGATGACGGCAATACATGTTGTTGTTATGATGATAACGAGTATTGTTGCTTCTGTTGTATGTATAGTTGGTCTCTTCAAGTATCAAATGATAATAAAACATGGAAAACAGTTCATAAAGTCGAAAAAGACGAAGAAATGAAGATTTGCAAAGAGAAAACGTATCATTTTAGTGAAACATATAGTGCTAAGTATGTTCGACTTATTCAAGATGAAGCATGTCCACAAGAACGTCTATGCATGGCTATCAACAAACTTGAACTTCTTGGTAAATTAAGTGAAGGTAACGAAATCGACACAGACGAAGAAATATATGATGATGAGGATGTCAGTATCATTGGACATGTATCCAAAAACCAAGTCAAATAAAACACTTTGTAAATATTATGTCTGCCAAATAGAGAGAAGTTTTTCCTTTACATTATATTGAAAAATATTAACCTTTCAAAATCATATATATAGCTGCAAACTTTCATCGGATAAACTTTGAAAATCTATTATCAATAAAAATGCTGTCCTAATAAAACAAAGCATTATATCTTGACCTCCAAAATAGTTATCACTATATATCTTCCGTTTTCTGCAAGCGCATTAGGCAATAAATGCTTCTGCAATTCAATTATCTATATATTGGATAGACATGAATCAATGAAACTAGTTTAGATATGATGGTGAGAGCTAATACACTTCTAAAAGACGTCTAATAGCGAAATAAAATTTAGAATAATTATTAGAATCACCAAAAATGATAATAGAGGAAGCTAGGTCTTTGTCAAATTTGCGAAATTTATGGAAGAAGTTTTTAAGATTGAATGTAGAATATTTTTTTCTAAAAGAATAGCTGTAACAATTGAAAAGTTTTCAATACTTATTTTTCAATTTGCGAAGATGCATTAAAAAAAATAGAGTGAAGAAATACATTTATTGTCTGTTTTTATAACATTATAAGATTTTATTCATTTGTGGCTTGTGAAGATACAATTTTATGCCTGTGTGGGTATTTACTTGCTTGAACCTAGAATTCATAACTTAAGCTCCTTATATGATTCTAAGAATATTTGTAAATATAGTTTATCCATATTCATGTTCGTAAGAGTTGAGTAGCTTCTAAACAAAATTAACTTCTTTAGAAAATTTTTATGTAAAAAACGGTTATGGTTTGAAAATTTAAATGTTTGCTATATAAACTTATATTTTTGCTAGCGTAATTGCCTGATTATCAAAATGCTGCGTATTCTGATGATGGTTATTCATATCTTGAATCTGTTTCTTCAAATGCTAAAACTACTACAATTCATAAAAATGCAAAAACTATCAAAGGTATCAGTTCCAATAATTATGCATTTTCTACATGTAAAAACACAATTGAGAGTGTTATATTTGAAACAGGATCACAATTATCAGAAATTTCACCTTACACATTTTATTTATGTGTAAAACTTCAGAAAATAGACTTGACTCCGTGTACATTTCTAACTAAAATTGGAGAAAATGCATTCAATAACTGTAGATCTCTTTCTTCTATTAAAGTACCGAATTCATTGAAAAGCTTAGGCGATTATGCTTTTTATAATATTAACATATCAGAATTCACATTTCCTTCGTTGACATCAAATATTCCTCAATATTGCTTCATTTATTGCTCAAATTTGATCAAAATAGAGATACCAATCGATAGCAATATCTTGAGCATTGGGAAATGGATCATTTATATGACTAGAGTAACAACAATATATATTCCTTCCAAAGTTAATTCAATTGCATATGCATTTTCTGAAGGTACGATTCTACAAACTATATCTGTTTCTCCACAAAATCAAAATTTTCGAGTTGAGAACTCAATATTAATTCAAATAGATCAAAACTCTGCTCATTCATATCCTCATAAAATAGGTGGCTCTCTTATTATCCCAGATAATATAGTGAGTGTTGCGCCAGCTGCATTTTCAAATTGCGAAATTACATCTGTAAAGTTGCCATCAACCATTACTTCAATAGGAGAATATAGTTTCATTATTAATCCACTTACTGAAATTGAAATCCCTGATTCTGTGACATATATTGGCAGAAATGCGTTCACTGCATGTAGGAGTTTGAAAATAGTGAAACTTTCAAATAAAATTAAAACACTCCCAGAGAGTTGTTTCGAGGAATGTGGATTGACATCAATAACGATTCCAGATAGTGTTAAAGTAATTAACGATAAATGTTTTGTAAAATGTCCAAATCTTGTTGAAGTCGTGTTGCCAGATAATTTAACACAACTTAATGGTAAAGTATTCGATGCAACAACAAATATCAGATTTTCGAACAATTCTAAATTCTACATCACATCAGACTACGTCATCATGGACAAAGAAAACACCACAGTTGTTCAGTACATCGGTAGTAACTCAGACACAAACATCAATATCCACTTCAATGCTAGTGAGATCAAGAAATCAGCATTTTCAGACAAAACACTCTTACGAAGCATCACATTCCCAGTTGAATCTAAACTCAAGACCATCAACGACTATGCATTCAGCAACTGCTACAACCTCGAATTCATCGGTCTTCCATCTAACATCGTCTCCATTGGAAGCAACTCATTCAGCAACTGCTACAAACTGCAAACCATTTCTCTTAATTTTTGCAATCGAATTGGTACTAGCTCATTCATTAACTGCATCAAACTTGGTGAAATTATTTTCGAAGAGAGTTCTATCACTAACATCCCAGACAGCTGTTTCTACAACTGCACATCAATCACAACACTTAAGTTACCAATTAATCTTGAAACAATTGGTGATAAATCATTTATGCTTTGCACATCATTGACTAGTGTTACATTCCATGTTAATGTTAGTTCATTTGGTGACAGCTGTTTTCGTCAATGCAACATCAAACAAGTTCATATGGGTATTTGCAAAACATTTCAAACACTTAGTGACAACTGTTTCCGAGACAACAGTCTCTTAGAAACTATTGAATATCCACGAGACTTGCATACACTTGGTGCATTCAGTCTTAGCAACACATCTATCACATCATTTGACATCCCTCCATCTCTTGAGACTATCAGCTCAGACACATTCACAAACTGCTTCTCACTCAAGTCTATCAACATTCCATCAGACTCACGACTTAGTCTTATCTCAGTTGGTTCATTCCGTAACTGCATCAATATCGAGAACATCGTCTGCGAAAGCGATTCATACCGTGTTGTCACAGGTGCACTCTTCAACAGCGAGATGACATCTCTCATCTTGTTCCCACCTGCATCTAAAGTGAAATTCTTCTCACTTCCAGGCAGCACTAAGACTATTGGTGAAGGTGCTTTCATGAGCTGTGTTAATCTTCTTATTGTCATGATCCCCAGTGGTAGTGTTTCAACCATCTTACAAAGTGCATTCGAAGGTTGCAGTAATCTTAAGATGATCAACATTCCATCTAGTGTTATCGAAGTTGGTGACGATGCATTCAAATCGTGTGATCATCTTTCATGCGAATGCGAGATTGAGAATCGAAGCAAAATCTTCTTGAACCAACTCATCAACCATTGTAAACTTCCTAAACGCTGCATCTATGACTGTGAATCTCTCTATTCATGTCGTATCGAATTCAGCATTCATACAAATCTTCTCATTCATCCATTCATTGTTATGTTATTGTAAAAACAATTGTTCTATTCGGTTAATTTATTAATTATAAGAAATCTTACATCTTCAAATTTTATTTAAAGCATTCAATTGTTTACCTCAATGTCTTCAAAAATTTTGAAGGAAGAATTCCCTTAATATTTATATGTCATTTTTTTCCTATACAGTAATTTAAATTGTTAATTTCAACTTAGTCATAAAATTTTTATATAATCAAAGTCAATTTCCTTGATTAAATTAAAAATAAATATAAGATATAAAAGTGAAAGATTGAGGAGCATGAAATATTCTTAATTGAAAGGCATTCTGTGAGGGTTTCTCCTAATTGATATGCATTGAATGAAACAACAATTGTTGAAAATTTTTCTGATGGATATAAACGGCAAACACGAACGTATTTAATACTAGGACAGCCTAAAAGCAATCTTTTTTCTGCAAACGATACATTTCCATAATAACAAATAACATTCAAATTTCGCATTCCATTAAAACAAAATTCATTCAAAACAGTCACAGACGAAGGAATCGATATAGCAACAAGTTTATTCAATTGACAAAATGTATTGGTTCTCATTTCTTTAAGAAAGGATGGTAAAATTAAAATTCTCAAATTCGGGCATGAATCGAAACAAGATTCTTGTAATATTTCAATTTTAGTTAAAGACAAATCAACAATTTCTAAGTTTTTGTTTTCATGAAAAGTTACTCCATCTAATTCCTCTAATTTTCCCCATCCAACAAACTTATGAAATGTGGAGCCTGAAAAAACAACTGTTCCAAGACACGTTATACTTTCTTTATGAGGGATATCGTCTTCTTCAAAATTATTTGGAGATCGAACAAGTCTACTCATGTCTTTACTAAATACAAAATTATTTACAACTGTAAAATATGGATTATTATCATCAATCGTAAAAGTATTTAGATTTGTGCACTGATTAAATGCATAACCAGTGAAATCTCTCAAATTTTGACCTAAGTGAACTGATGATATTCCAATTAATGCAAATGCGTTCCAATCTAATGAAATTAGTAAATCAGGTAATAATATTGTTGTTAATTGCTCGCAATGTACGAATGCTTGAGATCCAATCGACTCTATACATGATTTCGATAGATCTAATGATATGCATCTGCCACTTTTGCACGCTGAATGGTAAATTGTTTTGTAAACAGTGTTCGAAACAACAATATTACCGGTATATGATTTATCGAATTCATATATGACGCTTCCTGATGCATTAATAATATGATCACTCAATTATTTAAAAATTGATCATACATTTTGGAAACATTCAGAAAAATTGACATAGAAAGTTTCTGAATTTAATAAATTCCAAAGTAAATCATAATTTCCCCTGAATAAGACTCAGAAAACTTTGCAATTATTATTTTTTTTTTCAATATCATGCAACCTCTCCTTTATATAATATAAAAACTTTATCTATTCAAATATCGTTTATCAAAATAAAGACAAACATATTAGAGGTTTTAAAAGAATAGAATGAATTTTTACATGAAGGAATATAATTGAGAATCGTAATTCTGATGGCGCCACGAGATCTGTTTCCAATTCCGATTGAGTTTCGTTTGTAATACAGAGGCATTGTTGTGTTTCCTTGTTGCATTGATGGGCTCATAAAAGAGATCCCAGAATAATGTACTGAAGAATTCGTTTCACTTGGATTTTCATTTTCAGAACTATTTAATGCTATACAATTCGGAAATCCTGATACGAATGAACTTCCTCCTCCTCCAACTCCTGTAAAATTGAGAGTGGCTCCGCTCCAATATCCATTTCCTCCAATTCCACCATGATCAGATGAAATTTCAGGTAATGATACAATTCCAAACTGTCCATCTGAGCCTCCCAATCTTCCGATTTTTGTGGCAATACCACCTGATATCTGTGTTCCACCACTTGAAATTATATCAGGACAAATAATTCCTTGTCTGCAGTCACTCACACCTGATGCACCAACTAAACCTCCACCGTGGCCGCCAATTGATGCGGCCCATTCAGCACTTCCGCCGCCACTGGAAACCATAATTCGAGAGCGAAGAGATTGAGGATCAAACCATTCTCCTTTTTCGTTGATATATAATCGAACATCAGATGATGCCCCTCCATATACGGCATTAATTGGATAAGACAAATAATTATTGAAAATCGATCGTGAACCTACGAATAAATAGAGTGTTTGCGATTGACCAACACTAAGGATCCCCGATGTATACCCACCTTGGCCAATATTTGCATTGCTTCCCCATAGGTTAGAACTTGATCCCCATGCTTCGATTTGAAATAACCCAGTTGACAATTTTACAGTATATGAAGTGCATCTGCCATATGAATCTCCACAAGGATATCCGAAAACATATTGATTTCGGTTAATAGTAACATTTTCTTTTCCATAACCAGCATTTGTTAATTTATATTGAATCAATTAATTTGAGTTTCCATTCAAAAAAATCCGTTGTAGCCTTAATCTTTCTCAATTTTGACTGTGAATTCAAATTTAAAAATATTTTGTATCAGATTCCGTCATTTTAATTTTAAAATATCTAATTCATATTATGCCAATAATGCAAACTTATGGGAAAATTTAATTAGTGAAGAATCTAAAAAATGGTGCTTACCCGATTCGCACTAAAATTAATACATAAATCCAAATAGTTTTGTATTATGTATATGCTTTTGAAAGTAAATTTCAATCTCAGATGATATAATTTGATGACAAAATTTCGAAAAGTGACAAAATGATATTGTTTAGTTTCATATGCGAGAATTTGATGACTGATTCAAATTCTATATTTAAAAATGTATATAAACAAAATTTGATTGAAACATATGTTAGTGGATCAGCATCCCAATACATAAATGGTTCAATCCAAATTACAAAACCAGAATACACTTATGATCAAGTTGAAAAGAGGTATGATTGGTGTTCTAATATTGGTAAAACACAAACTGATTATCCATGGATCATCTATACCATTAAAAACCGCATTATCAATTTGAAAGGTTATTATTTGAAATCTGGATGTTGTGATGACGGCAATACATGTTGTTGTTATGATGATAACGAGTATTGTTGCTTCTGTTGTATGTATAGTTGGTCTCTCCAAGTATCAAATGATAATAAAACATGGAAAACAGTTCATAAAGTCGAAAAAGACGAAGAAATGAAGATTTGCAAAGAGAAAACGTATCATTTCAGTGAAACATATAGTGCTAAGTATGTTCGACTTATTCAAGATGAAGCATGTCCACAAGAACGTCCATGCATGGCTATCAACAAACTTGAACTTCTTGGTAAATTAAGTGAAGGTAACGAAATCGACACAGACGAAGAAATATATGATGATGAGGATATCAGTATCATTGGACATGTATCCAAAAACCAAGTCAAATAAAACGCTTCGTGAACACTTTCTTTTTTTGTAGAAAAAAAAATTAACTTAGCTGTCTAATGAAAAAGAGTTTTATCATGACCTTTACTTGTAATATTGTTGCTTTTCTGATACGAATTTTAATATTCTGAGCTTAATAAAATTTATATCTTTCTATAATAAATATAAAATAAATAAATAAATAAATAAAAAACTCGCCATTTAAGGCTGCCTTACTTCATCCGACTTCAGATTTTTGACAACTGGCGTGAAGCGTAATTGAAAATTAACCTTAAATATCTGAATTGAAGGCTATGTCATAGGGGCGTAAGTGCACCCTTAAATAATAACTTAAATTATATCGATTTATCATTGACTGAGTTTAAGATAATAATAATGAATTCCAATATGAATCTATGTCCAAATGTAATATTGTAATTTAGCATTTGTTTCTCAAGATATGAATTGTTTATTCAAATTTATTTACCTGTTATGATTTTGATTCCTTCCTCCATTATGTGAGAAGTTAGATAGTTGTTTGTTGTTAGGGAAATTAACACTTTTCCGACTTTTTGTTAGGGGTAATTCTATTGCATATGATTATTTTTATTCTAATGCCGAACTGGAAAAGGTATATTCTTTAACATTTGTTGTTTCGTCCAATAATGTGGCATAGTAGTATATGAATGCGGGTTTAGTGACTTTTTTTGTTTCATCTATATATAGACGATGCATTAAAATATATTTATTTATAAATCATTAAAAAAATTAACATTAATTTTAAAATAATTTATTTTTTTATCTTTTATAAAAGAAGCTATATATAGATGATGTCAGATATTCCGCGATTAATTAAACATTGTTTAAATCCTGAATGGGTTAAACTTCAATTTAAAAATGAAGATTGTGAATTATTAAATGAATATGAAAGCCAAAATAAGCTAATGAGGTATAAATATAATGATAAAGAATATTTAATTTCATGGAATCAATGGAGTCATAATCAAAGACCTCATAAACGAGAAGAAGAAATTGAAAATAATGAAATGGAAATCATTGATGACATTAAAGAGGATGGAATTCCTAAATTTTGTAGAAAAACCTTTAGAACTAAGTTAGGAGCATATAAACGTAGAGTATTAAATCCTGAATATCTTAAACATCAATTTAAAAAGGAAGACTGTGAATTATTAAACGTTAATGAATATGAAAATGCTAAATCAAAACTGAGATATAAATATATTGGAAGTGATGAAAGGTGTAAAGATAAAGATAAAGTTTATTCAGTTTCATATAATAACTGGCACACGTTGGGGATAAGAAAACATTTAGGAGATTATGGTAAAAGTTCCGAATTCTTCAAATCTAGTATGTATGAGAGAGTAAAAGAAATCAGATATAATTATCATTCATGAATGAAAAATAAACTTTAAAAATTCATGTCTTACATTTTTGAATAATTTATTTTTATTTTGTATGAAAATGAGTGAATCAAAATTCGTGACTGTGAATCAATTAATGAATAAACTTTCACCAATTCTCACCCATGTTAAACAAGTAGACGTTTATTTTGATGATTGCATAGAAAGTTTATTTTATAAAGGTAAGTTTAATATTAAACCTATTGCTTTTGCATTTGATGGTAAATTAATCGAAAATTCAAAAATTTGGGAATTAATTCCGGATATTGAATTTATAACAAATATTAAGGATAAGTGGTTTAAACAACAAAACCTTTTCACTAAAGTTCTTTGTAGATTAATGATTAAAACTGAGGAAAAAGAATTTAACGGATTTAAATATCATCCATGTAAAATTTTAGAACTTGGTAACGAAAAACTTCAGAAAAAATTAAACGAAAGACTATCAAAAGATAAAGTTGAAAGAGTAAATAAACTCACTAAAGGTAATGATGATGAAGATGAATTTGATGAGTTCAACATTGAACTTTAAGAAACTAATGATTATTTGAATTTATGAAATCAATTATTTGATTCATTCTTTCTTCAATCTCTTCTATTCTTTTTGTTAAATCATCAATTTTCATTAATGAGGTGATTCTTGATTGAGGAATAGATTTCAAACTAACCACTCCTTTTATTTTTGAAATTTTGAATCCATGACCCTCCGGGTCTTGGACTCTGTCCTCAACTTTAAACATTTTATTCAATTTACATGTTGTCAATTCTTCAAATAATTTTTTATTCTTTGCGTAATAGTCATTAAATTCTTCAACAGATGAAAAAATTTTTGTTTCAGTAATTGGTTTAACAACGTTTATTTTTTGTTGAACATTTTCACTTTCATTTATTTCTTCCTCCTCTGTTTCATTTATTTTTAAAATCGGTTTCATTTATCATTAAATAAAAATTAGAATTAAAAGAATTTAATAGAATAAATAAATTGATTGGAAGAGATGAATTTAATAAAGATGAATTTTTAAACTCTATCCAAATTTAATTTTTATTCCTCTTCGACAACATCTCTCTTTCCATCATTACTGCATAACCACATTTTCTCAATTTTAGTGGTTTGTTATTTTTAACATGTTCTTGCATCATTTTTATCATTTCCTCCCTTGTTATGATTCGTGGTAAATTTTGAGCTTGTGGGGTATTCATTTATATAAAAATAAAAATTTGTTATCACTTATTTTATCGTTAAGTGACTCAAAGAGTCCGGAGACAAAGTCTCATGGTTTTTAGGTTATTCAATAATTAATTATTTTTGAAGAACTGAAGGTGCTACCATGTTACCATGTGCTACCAGGTCATTTAACTTCTCTGAAAAAATGAGACAACATGACATTTTGACAACAGTTCAGGAGGAAGGTAGTTATGAATTATTTTTGAAGAACTGAAGGTGCTACCATGTTACCATGTGCTACCAGGTCATTTAACTTCTCTGAAAAAATGAGACAACATGACATTTTGACAACAGTTCAGGAGGAAGGTAGTTATGAATTAATTATTGAATAACTGAAGGTGCTACCATGTTACCATGTTGACAACATGACATTTTGACAACAACACAGGAGGAAGGTAGTTATGAATTAATTATTGAAGAACTGAAGGTGCTACCATGTTACCATGTGCTACCAGGTCATTTAACTTCTCTGAAAAAATGAGACAACATGACATTTTGACAACAGTTCAGGAGGAAGGTAGTTATGAATTAATTATTGAATAACTGAAGGTGCTACCATGTTACCATGTTGACAACATGACATTTTGACAACAGTTCAGGAGGAAGGTAGTTATGAATTAATTATTGAATAACTGAAGGTGCTACCATGTTACCATGTGCTACCAGGTCATTTAACTTCTCTGAAAAAGTGTGACAACATGACATTTTGACAACACAGCAGGATTAATGCAAAAATAAATTCCAATCATACTTTATAAAGCTAGACCTTCAGGTCTCGCCGCTTAGCGGCTCATTTACAGGTATTTCATCATCAGTAAATGATTCCTCATTATCGTTTGGTTCAACCTGTTTATATAATCCTTTCATTTCTTCTTTCAAAACATAATACCATGTTTGTTTACCGTCTATTCTTCTATGTTTCCTATCACATTTATCCTTAATACTCATTTGAAAGTTTTTGTCTTTCATGTCTGATGGTTTGCAGAATAGAGCATTTTCACACGTCATA